AATCGAGCTCGTCAAAATCTTCAGGATTTCGAATAGATAATGGTGACATTTTGAATTCTTTGTTGGTATGAAGATATAAAGACAATATAAAATGACATGCTGGGTATTGAAATTATTGAGAAATCATTTGTGACCATTCACCATAATGAGCATGCCTTTAGTAATGACCTTTCCCTTAGGTAGGTTTAAATTATCTTTTCTGTGAAAAGTTCCACATATAACCATGCCGAGACAGCATTATATCCGGACCCGCATCTTCCACATTTCGCAATACTCATCTTATAATTTTTTAATTACACTGCTCACTGGTTCCCCATTTTAAGCAGTAGGCCTAATTAATGACATTGATCAGCATATTATCCAACCTCGGAAATATGGACACACTTTGTCATGACCAGTTCCCCGCCTCCTTTCCACCACATGACTGGGTCGAGCCCGCGAGTCTTATCTCAAAGAGCTTGACACCATACACAACCAAGGACTTAGAATCAGTTTAGGAGCATTTCGTACATCTCCAGTGCAGAGTTTTTACGTCGAGGCGCACGAGCCCTCATTGCACGACAGACGTGATAAACTTGCACTGCAGTATGCTACAAGAATTGCATCTCTGCCTAATCATATTTCATTAAACACCATATTTAGACCCTATTATGAACATCTATATTTACTGAGAACTAATGTTATTCCATCATTCGGTATTCGCATCCAACCCCTTTTGTCAGAGGCCGGCATAAGTCATGACAGTATTGCGAATACCCCTTTGTTTTGTACTCCACCTTGGACTATATCGCCCCCAAAGATCGATTTAGATCTAACGAAAAACAAAAAGAAAGATACTAGTTCCACGGTGTTTCAGTCTCTCTTTCGAGAGCTGAGGTCTAAATATGGTGATTATGCTCCGATTTACACAGTTGGTTCCAAAGATGGTGATCGGGTAGCTTCGGCTACCGTCACACCATCTGGAATCATTTCTGTCAGACTTCCACCTGCTGCTTCCATATTTACTGCTGAACTTCAGGCCATCTTTCAGGCTTTGGAATTCATTCAACCATCTTCTACTCTAAAACACGTTAAATTAACTGATTCTCTGTCCTCTTTATCGTCTGCTACTATCACACGAGTTTATCGGCAAGGACACAGTCCTTTGCTGGCTCCCCAGTCACGTTGATATTAAAGGGAATGATCAGGCAGACTTAGCTGGCGAGTCTGCTTTAGATCTTCCCATATCAAAATTCCTTTTATCATTCACCGATTTTAAATCCCCCATTAATTCTTTTATATATGGCCGCTGGCAACGGTCTTGGGATCTTGCAGGCACAAACAAACTTCATCACATTAAGCCTCTTCTAGGAGATTGGCCCAACTCCTATAGAACCAACAGGAGGGATGAGGTTTTTTGTGTCGCTCTCGAATTGGTCATACCTTTTTAACTCACATTTTCATTTTGAAGCGAGAGCCTCAACCGGAATGTGTTCACTGTCATGTTCCTTTGACAGTGAAACACATCTTGATTGAGTGCAAACATCTCAAGTATATTAGATCTAAATTCTACCGTTGCCAGTCAGTACGTCAGCTATCTGCCCAACCGGAGCTATATAATAGAGTGCTAACATTTTTAAAAGAGACAAACTTTTATTCCCAATTTTAATTGTATATATTTAATCTTGTATATCGTTTTAAATATTTATATATGTAAAAGATTTGTTATATTTGTTTTTAATTAATATATTTTCTGTGATATTTGTTTTTATTTACATATATAAATTCATTTATGAGATATTGTTTTAGTTTGTCTCGTTGGATTCACCATGTGTTTGGCGCAATATAGCCCGGTTGGAGCTGACGTGCCATTAAACAACATTTCATTTCATTTCATTTTATTTCCACCACATGACTGGCATTATAGGCCTTCTCACATTAAGATAGTGACTACACATAACGTTAGTCTAAAATCAATTATAGAGTTCTAAAGAGCTGTTACCGTGTTTATTTATTTATTATATCTCAGCGTTACGTTCCTTCGCCGATCGATGTGTTCAATGGTCTCTTCTATGAATCAGCCACATACTACAGTAAATTTCCACCAGACATCCACTCGTGTCGAAATATTTCAGTTTCCCTCATGCACTTTACACTGCTATATGTAGACCTACATCTGACTCAATCAGACTCGGCAGTTTAAAATCGAGACCCGTTTTCAATAAGAATAATATATGGAAGCCCGGTATGAATGTATAAATCGCTAAATAAACGTAACAACAAACCTGTGATGGAATCCAGTCTACCCTTAATACACCATAGAACTCAATTGTAAGATATCGTCTATAAATATACATTGTTCCACTGACCTTAGAATCAGGTTTTATTTCCGTGTTGATGCTTAAAGTGAACGTTACCACATATAATGGTAACTTTTAAATGTTACCAACTCGTCATACGAAATGATATATTAGGTTTTTTTGTTTATTTGTAATTCCGTTTCATCTTTTTTGTATTATTAAGACGAAAAATGTCTACTTTGTTGTCGCTTTACATGTTAATCATGAAAGTCAAACAAATTTAGAATGTTGATACTTCCACTTAGCAACCATCATTATGACGTCGTTTGGTGTTGCCACCGTGTGATGGGGACCATTCTGTTGATACCAACAACTCGCTCTTCGTCAGGTTGAATGGTTTGGCGGAGTGTTGAATTTGAAAACAACATCGAATGTGACATGGAATGAAATGAACTGGGCTAATAAAGACGGGCATACGCCATACAGTGTGCTATGAGGGAAATTTTGCCCGGACAGCGGCACCACGGCCTACTGTTATATCGAATTCCAACTGTCAAGGGATCTTTTACGTGCACGCCAATGTGTACACGGGACCTCGGGTTTTCTTCCCATCCTAACGACTAGACAGCTTGTGTCGAGTGGTCGTTGAACCCCATCTCTCTCTCTCTCTTCGTCTGGAAATGAAATCCTACATTTGCATATGAAAGTTGATGTTGTGCGAAAGTTGCTATGTAGAAAGCATGAATGACAAATGGGATGTGACAGAGCGCAAATGAGAAATGTAATGAGAGAAATGTAAAATGTAGACACGTAAAAAAAAGCATTTTCCCACAAAAAAATTGTCATTTAACACTTAACATTTGACGTTTTACATTTAACTCTTGACTTAGAGGTATTTGAACTTCATCATTATCGTTATTAGGACATTGTACATTGTACCTTTTACATATAATCAATGGAAACGACATTATACCCTTCCATAAAATTAGGCCATTTTCGTTACTAACATATACATATGGTTCAATTTTATTTCAATAATTCGCTTGCGAGGAGGAGTCTAGCAGTGGGAGGAAACAGGAAGACCCGGAGAAAACCAACGAGGTTGGACAAGCCCCACTACTCCTTGTCACGTACAACCGCCGAACCGGGGAATCGATGCTGAAATTGAAAACAATATCGAACGGGGTATGGTTGGCAAATACTATTTCAAATACAAGCTAACCAACATTTGCGGTTTAGCTTATATTTGAAATAGTATTTCAATTTGCAAACAATGTCACGTTCGATGTTGTTTTCAATTTCAACATCGATTCCCCGGTTCGGCGGTTGAACGTGACAAGGAGTAGTGTGGCTTGTCCAACCTCGTTTGTTTCATTTATTTACAAACCGTGCTACTGCAAACAGACAGATGCCATTCAGAGTGCTATATGGGAAACTTTGTCTTATCCTAGACGCTTTTCCTTGCCTGGCCCTCCATTCTGTAGCAATAACATGTGGAAACCATATTTTCAGGAAACGAAGGAATCGAACCTGGAAAATACTATTTAGTAAATCAGCGACTATATGAACTGAACTGTCACCCTCTTCCAAAAGGATGGTGATTACGTAGGCCTACCTGTACGTACCGCACGTTGTGTTGATTCCCTGACATACAGTGTCATCATTGACATAACTGGAGCGAAAATGAAGCAGTGTCAAAGGTCGAAGCGGAAGAGACTCAACAGTTAAGTTTCGTTCGGGAACGAAATATTTTAGTGGAAACCCATTTCAAGCTCTTTTTCAATTTCTTATGGAAAGGACATTTATATATAAAGTATCAATTTATAATAATATATTGTATTATTAATTAAATGTACACTAAATGTAATGTCGCGAAGAACACGTACTCATGTAATGATTAGGAGGTTTATAGGTTTAAGTTCACTACTGTTAATTTAAAAGAGCTATTCTTTTAACTCAATATTATTCATAATATTCGAAATTAAAAACACGAATTAAATGTAGAATTCAATATCGTATCGTGAAAATATGGGATCCTAATATCCCATATTTAAGACACATATTAAACTCAGTACACGGCATTGTGAAAATATGGGATCCTAATATCCCATATTTAAGACATATTAAAATCAGTACACGGCGTTGTGTATTCTGTTATTAACCGCATCCTTTATGGTATTTTGTCGCCGCATAGAATCGTATGAAAGTAAAACAGAGAATTCTAATTTTCATATTATGTTTAAGCATCTGAATACATGATTTTAAGATTATAGCCGTTTATAATCCTGTACAGACCCTCATTTATTATTACTTTCAAACGATGGCTTTATTATCTGAAATAAAAACAATAATTAATAAAAATTAAATTGCTAATGAAGACGGCCATACACCGTATAGTTAGCTATGACTAAACATTTGTCAGGACAGCGGTACTAGGTCCTACTCGAGTATCAACTGTACAACACCTATACGTTGTCCCTTGCCAAGGGGGAATTACGCCGCGAAATCCCGATTAACTTTCTCGGTCAACAACTGGATCGAACACAGGATCCCCAGGTCAGCGAGCTATTGTCCTACTTACTAAACCACCACGGCTACTACAGACAATCTGATTTGAATATTCCTTGAAAAACTGTAATCAAATCACGTAATTTCCAACCGTGCGTTCTTAAAAAACGTAAGTGGTACTTTTTCATCTGTGCATAATTAAAACAAGAGAAGAATGGTGTGGAAGGAAAACCAACAATTCTATTTTTACATCGTCTTTGTGTACCTGAATGAATATGGTACTATTTCAAGATTTCATACTCTGTAGTTCCTTACAATCAGCTTGTATTGCGAGTTTATAATCTTTGGCAGGACCCCACTTTTCATTGGGTTGAAATGATAATTTTATTCTCTGAAATAAACAAAGAAAACATGTGCTGAAATCGGACAGGTGGAATATGTTGCCCTCCAATTGTTGGACCAACAAAATAACGCAACTATAATCACCAAGAAAACAATGACAAAGCATATAATAGTAAAATACTATTTGGTATTCAAAGTAACCCTTTATTCACATAATCAGCAGAAATGAAACCAAATGGATTTTAACTTCCCACTGTCCCGCTCCGACTAAACTAATGAAAGTGTGCTATGAGGGAATAATTGTGTCTGGACAGCAGCGCTACGACCTACTCATATCGAATTCCACGCACTCTGTCCTGTATCACCAATGATCTTTCTCGGCCAACACCGGGGTTGATCACGGGACCTCCGGGTTAGCGAGCCAACTTCTTACTCGCCGAGTCAACGCCTTACCCACAGGGCCATAAAATTATTTATAAGCAATATAATTTGACATTTATTTGTATCATTGGCTTCTTGTGAATATTTGTTATGAGGTGTACGGTCGTGTTGCACTTACTGTCAGAGTAAGCGAAGTTTTATTCGCGAAAGATTGAACGATATTCAGTTACATTGGAGACTTGAAGATTACCTATTAGGAGTAAAGTCGCTAGCCCTCCGAAATATTGACCATAAGCATTCTACAGTAAAAACTTGATCAATGTGCAGTTTAACTTAGATCAAGAAAAACAGCATGTAAGGAATCCGTAATTATGATTTTACATAGCTAAAACATTTGCGTAGTACTTATGTTTTTCAATCCATTGCTTATCCACGTTGTTTCCGCGTGGGTATTGACGTTAATGACGCAAGAGTTATTTCCCATTTCTAATTTATTGAAACCTGAATTTCAGTCTGATTTATCGAGTCACTCAAGGAGATTAACTAACTTTTAGTCTATTCTTAAGTATACCTGTAACCATGGACCTTTTCTAGTAATGAATTCTCGGATCATCCATATAGGTATAGGTACAGCAGATATTAAAGCTATAATCCATCCTATAGCACTAGCATATGATGGATACACATAGTCTCCATAAGTGGGTGGTTGATACTGAACTAGAGTAAATACAAGAGTTATCTGAAATCATAAATTGAGGTATGGTAAACAGTTGAACGTTGATCTTAATCAGAAAGAAATATGGAACGGGTTCTCATGGGGGTCATTTCAGGACTAACAAATGCTTGCGCGTAGAGGTCTTTGGCAGTGCTAGGAAAAGAGAGGACCCGGAGAAAAGCCATGAGGTAGGACGGACATGACTTGAGTATATAACATGGAAGTTCCACTACCATACACATTGGGTTTTAACACAGAGGCAGAGTATTCGTGTACATGTATTCTGATCTTCCAATTAATAAAGAACCAAGATACCACACGTGCGAGATTAGATTTGAAGGTGGTTGAAATGCTCGTTTCACTAGTATAAAGATATCATTTTGGAATATGGATTTTATGTCACTGACCATGACATAATGATCTTTAAGCTAATAAAAAAATAAAATGACTAGCACTACGTTCTTTGATAGTCTCAACCCAGTGCGAGTTCGTGTTAACCTAATCTGAAAACTTACAGATAGAATTAAAGGATTTATAAATTTCCAGAGAATCTTAAACAGGAACAATGGTCGCTTTCCTAGCATCATTTCCATATCATCAAAATAACGACCCGCTCCTGTTGATATAAAAATATAAAGTATACAAATTTAAGGCGCCGGTTTCTAATCTGTTGCTATAGAAAACAGAAAATGTACAATAAGCGCTTGAGGATGAACTAAAAAAGGGCATTGCGAGCTAAGCCCGGCGGTGCAGAGGGGCTTGACTGTGTTAAATACCCAATGCTAAAAATATCTACTCGAGAAAGTACTGACGCTATGCTAGTCCTAGATATATTTCAACACGACGGTGCAGAAAGGCTAGACTGTGTTAAATACACAATGCTACACAATCTACTCGAGAAAGTACTGACGCCAGTCCTAGATATATTTAATCTCTTATGGTCTGAACGTAAAACTCCACAAGAATGGAATATTACTTCAGTTATTCCTATGCATAAGTATGATAAGGACAAGAACGAACATCGTCCTATCGACTTGTTAGCCGAATTTCAGCACTCTGTAAACTTAAAAAAAAACCGTTATCACAAATAGGTTGAAGTACTTCTTCGAAAGCAATACCATCATTAGAAATCAACGAAGTTGCCATCTTGCAGATGTATCTACTGCATACCACTTTATCAGACTACAACATGATTTAACAAAGGTATTTACAGTCAAACACTATCTATGACTTAGCCAAAGCTTTTGACTTAGTGTGGTTGGACGGTTTTGTACAAAAACTTCACAAAGGCTGAATGTATAAGTGGATAGATGACTTTCTAAATAAAACGCATAGGCATATTAGGGTACGGGATAGGAAACTGCATGAGTGAAAAATTTGAAATGGAACACGACAAGGCTCCGTCATCAGCCCAATTCTCTACAATATAATTCTCTACAATATAATGATAAACGATCTACCAAGCTATGCTCGGCAGTATGCCCAATCGGCACTTTTACGAACAAATTTCGAAATAGCACTATAAACCTCAGAATGCCTCGTTCGGCATTTTTGTCCAAACGTGGCAAAAACGTATTAAAATTTTTGCCATAATTTTGCCAAGTTGTAACGTGGTAAAAATAAAATGCCACGCTTGTCTGGAGTTCCAAAACGTTTTTTTTTTTTAAATTACCATGTTTTTGGAACGAGGTATTTTGTCCAGGACGAGGTTGATCACAAGGTTGGATACGCGTTCAGCCAAACCAAATATGCTGTTCCTGTTTTTATATAATAAACGACGGGTTTAAGATGAAAACGTATCATGTATATTGAGTTAGTTGCTCGGTCCAAAGGTAGAAGATTTTAATGGCTTTTAACACAAAATGAAGCAGTTTTATTCTCCAAAATATATTCCAGATCGACCCTTTATATAAGAATCCAGACGTAGGCCGGTTACCTGAAGGATGTAAACGTAATTATCATTTTTAATATAGTTGTTCGCATCGCCCCGCTTTGCATGTCATTATATAAACATAAATTGTGCCTATTTCATTTTTCGATGGATTTTAATTTAATTGCTTTTGCAATTTTTATACATACAACTGAGTGCCAATTACAGAAAATTTCATAAGATATATTAAATATAATATCGTTTATTATATAAAAAAAAGGAACAGCATATTTGTAATTAATAATATTCAAAGGCCTAAAAACAATTATTGAGTTCGCTCCGCTTTGAATTTGACTGTTTTTCATATCTCACATCTCTTTGTTGGAAATATTGCGTGAACATATGAAACTGCAACAAAGAATTTGGTTGTTTTTCATTTCTCACATCTCTTTGTTGGAAATAATGTGTGAATATATGAAACTGCAACAAAGAATGTCATTTCTAGTCGACTATGCCTTGTGTTTTTTTTTCTCTACATAATCGCTTCAAAGTGTCAGTAAATAATGTTATGCTGTCCTCGATACGCTCGCCGAAACTTTGGTTTGGCTAAACCCCACCCCAACCCTTTTGAAAAATCATGTATCCAAACTTATGAACAGGCTCGTTCTGGTCAAAATACCTCGTTCCAAAAACATGGCAATTTAAAAAAAAATACGTTTTGGAACACCAGACCAACGTGGCATTTTGTTTTTACCACGTTACAACATGGCAAAATTGTGGCAAAAATTTTATTAGCACGTTTTTGCCACGTTTGGACAAAAATGCCCAACGAGGCATTCTGAGGTTTATAGTGTAGGCAAATAATTGGGGTTTCAAAATATCGGAAGGAAAGACAACAGCAATGCTGTTCTATCCGATTGATAACAATAGGAAAATAGGGTTAAATTTGACGACACAAGACTAGAATTTAAATCAGAGACTAACTTCCTTGGATGACCTTCGACTCACGACTGACATGGAAGTCACATATCGATGGCATTATTGTTAGCTGCACATCCAAACCCTTAACAGAATGAAATACATGGGGAATGGACCGATTCACACTCTTATGTTAATATACAAATCATGCACTCATCCGTTCGATACTCGACTACGGTGCTTGTCGACAATCATCTGGGTAGATTCTATAGAATGCACTCTTATGTTAATATGCAGATCACTCATCTGTTCCATACTCGACTACGGTGCTTGTCGACAATGCACTCTTATGTTAATATGCAGATCACTCATCTGTTCCATACTCGACTACGGTGCTTGTCGACAATCATCTGGGTAGATTCCATAGAATATAGGGTAATATAACAATTGACCTTTTACACGAAGTGAGAGATCTTCCACTTGATCTCGGGCGAGAGAAACTTAGTGGGCCAAGCTGCAAAAGCTCAAAGAAAGATGTCCAACATACAACTGATATAGTAAATCAGCAAGGAACGATTTTTGGGACTAAAAGGTTAAAACAATTATACTATATCTTCTGTGGTGTACAGAAATACACAATATACCCCTTTGGTGTACAAACATACACAATATACACCTGTACAAAAATACACAATAGACCTTCAAATAAAAAAGACGAAACTTCACAAACGTTTGCTATTAAATATAGTAAGAGAATAATAATCAAAATAACCTATAACATAATATACATATTATAAATATTTTAACTATACTTACCATATATCCATCCAATAATTATAACTTCCAGAACTGTTATTAGAAAGACAGTCACGGCTGACATATACCAATCTACAAGCTGATATATATATATTCCTGCCTAAAATTAACGAATACGTAATAACTTAATATTAGAAATAATTATTAGGAAAAGAAGTAACATCTCTAGAAAAGCCAACTGGTCTCGACTGTAGTAAACGTAGGCGGTCTCTAATAAGTGAACAGGTAATCAAGTGGATGTATTTATAATACTGGGTTTGGAAATGTTGGAATATATTCACTTCATGAGCTTAACATTGAAGAAACCGATAAACGAATAAAATTTATTGGAAGAAATTGATAACAGAATAAAAAGAAATGCATCAGAAAGGATGCATTTAAATGATCCATAGAACTTATTTGTTTCCTTCCAGAATGAAAATGGGCTTAAAATTAGAGAAATGGATAAAATAATATTGAAGAAATGAATATAAGAATAAAAAGAAATTGATAAAAGAAATGCATTTTAAATAATCCATGCAACTTACTTGAGATGTGAATATCAAACTAACCAAACACATCAGGAAACACGTGACTGCTGTAATCATTAAGCGTAGTTTTGGAGTTGATTTTGGGATCAAATCTGTTATTGCCGTTACGCATACTTCCACATTAACAAACTATTAATAAATGAAATTGTTAATAATCTTGCCGATAATATAGCTTACATGTTGAAATAAATATTACATGGTTTGTTTTGTGGAAGGTCCGTCTTTATTAGCCCAGTCGGAGCAGAACAGTAGGACGTTAAACCTCATTTCATTTTTTGAAAGGGAATATAAGCATTATTCAACTACTTATTTTATATCTAAATGATAGATCGCATTTTCGATTTAAGATCATAGTAATGGCACGGCCGATTTTAATTAACATGACATAGTAATTGAAGAAAATTGGTTCACTTTCACAGAGAAAAGTATGTTTCCATATATAAATTAAGTTATATATATGGGCTTTCTAACAGTATAATCTATCAATCTAAAAATGGGAATATGTCTTGGAAAAATATGCACAACATGTTATAAGAAAGCGCATCTCTTACCATTGAATCCAGTGCAGCAAAAACAAGCATCAAGAAAAATAATACCGCCCATAATTGAGGTATTGGTAGCTGACTAAGTGCTTCTGGATAAGCAATGAAAGCTAGACCAGGTCCTAATAAAAATAAAAAGAACCAGTCGTCAACATCCCGCACACTTTGATAGGTTTAAAAGATACAAGGATATCAATATCTGTGTTATTGGTAATCAACAGCCAAAATCTGCATGTGAAGCAAATAGTATTATGCTGTCTAGACATAAATAATTTAACACAATTATTGTGTTAAATTATCACCGCGAAATTATTAAAAAAAAATTTCTAATTTTTTTTTTAAGAATGAGTATCAAAAGACTGAAAAGCTTGAATAATTTATGAGATATATCAAGTTACGAAAGGGGTAATTTGTAACGGGTGCAGATACTCCACTAGACTGATGTGTACAAAGTGTCATTAAGAAATCTTAAACAGTTTATGAGAGGTGCTCAAGAATAAAAATTGAATTCCAAAATTTAAGTCAAATTTGTTTCCGAGCCTGACAAGGAAAGTGTTCTAATCCTTTGGGTAGCTTTGACATTAAACTACATCCCACTTAAGTTTTAAAATATATCTATATTTTGTACTTTACAAATATTAACAGTTCTCTTAACTTTGAAAATGATGTATTCTGTAGTGCCATCTAATGAACATCTAAACCTACAGTTGTGTCTGGTAGACATCATCATCGCCGAATCTTTTGACAATGAGATAGGTCTGAGGGCAGAAATATATACGCAGAAATTTTATCAGTCGGTGACAATTTGTCGACATTTTTTAAAACTTAACTCAATGTCGGACAATGTGTTCACATGTTAAAAGCTCCAAATATTGGTAGTTGTTATATTATTTACCTGTACGGATAATCTCGGCTATGTCTAGACCAGTTTGGTGGGACATGAAACCAAGGATAGAAAATACCACAAAACCAGCATAAAAACTTGTACCTTCTCCAACAATACAAAAAATGATGGTATCCCTGAAATGTTGCAAGCCGTTGTGGCAAATGTTAATTGTCTAGTAACATAGTTAAATACGTATTGCCGGACTATGTTATGTTGAATTTCCATATAAACTCTAGTGATTACACCTAATCACGTTGTTTAAGATACAGTATAACAAATTGTGGTGTACTTCTAACAGAACATGCAACAGAACTTCTGTATTCAAGGAGCTGTAGGATTGCCGATGTGTGATTTTTGCTGAGCGATCAGATCAATGTGGTAATGGCTGCGCAGTTTTGAATAACACATACTTATGACTTGCTAGACGGTACCGAACACAATAATGTTTCTCTACATTTGTTTATTGTACGAACAATATTAGATTATGGAAATACCGAAGACTCCGGACTGATCATCTTTCCACACGGTTTTTATCAGCCAAGTTGTTTAAATACAAAAAAAGAGAGTGATCCTTACCTCATAACATTGTTATCAAATTTATTATAACTAGACATTGTGATAAATCCTCCCCACCCCATCCCCGTTGAATAAAATATTTGCATCAACGCCTGCACCCACATCTATAAAAAGAAATATAAAGATAATTTTCAATGCGGGTATGCCGAATTGGTCTACACCTTGTCGATTCCTACAATTTCTAAAACTTTACATTTATAGATTCATTTGTGTACTATTATGTATTTCTTTCATTGTTTTTGTTTCAAATGAAAGAATCTATTAAAACAATATAAGATTATTAAACGTTTTATAAACAATTTACTTTTCAAATTATATATCAACAAGAGAGCACAGTAGGGTAGACTAACAAATTGGAAAATTAACAGACATAAAGTCAGATATCTAGTTCTAGGAATTTCGATATATATTGTTCATACAGTTTACATATTAGGAAGAATTCATTTCATTTCTGACGTATTCTCATTTGGGGTGTTTAAAAGACCACACGCGTGGGTTTTACTCGGGCATCATTACGATAAGCTGGGCAAATCTTGAAGTTGGTTTCGTTTAGCCGGCGCGGGCGAGCAAGTTGAAAAAAGGGTATTATTTAGAATTCCTATAGACTATAGCTTCTGAGTTTTAGTATCAACAGAACACAACGTGAAGTCACAATGAAGTCCGACTTGAAGCAAGCAATTTTGAGAGCTATAGTACGGGGTCGATAGTGTTGCATATATTCGTTTTCGTGCCATGTTGCCCATATAATGTGATTGTGCTAATTTACTGCCGTGACAAAGAACATTGTTACATTGATTAGAATGCATTAAAAGAGAATGAAACGTTTAAATATCATGAATATGTTTTATTTTGTATAAATACACAACTGCATAAAGCTAGTGCTTATTGCATATTACGGTATCGGTATTTGGCAAAATCACAGTGGAAATATTGTACGTAATATACAATCAGAAATCCTGTAGAATTCCATTAACTATTTGATTCTTGAAATAAAACAATAACAGATATGCATTAAAACAACCTTTATCATGTGGAAAAATAACTTAATTTAGGAAAACCAGGAACTGTTTGGAATGGTATTTGTTCTGAGAATATTCATTATAGTCAAATGATAAATTATTTCCCATAAGACGGCTGATGGTTGTTTTATTTATTACTTAAAAAATTTGGAATTAAGTAGACCTGTTAATTATATCAGTTTTAATTAATTACATTACCTGAGGATTAGCTAATTTACTAAAATCAGGAATTATGTAGAATTTCACACCATCTATGGCACCAGGCAAGGTAGCGGCTCTAATTAAAATGATTGTAATAATGATGTACGGTGCTATAGCTGTCAGATATACCACCTAAATAAAAAAGCAAAATATAAACCAGCACATAAATAATAATTTATAGAGTTGATGTGAAGTAACCCAAGGGTAGGCAGCATCTTGACCTTAATATTCATCCACAGAAACTTTCTATCTTCAGTCGTGGACTGGTGATTTAAAGATAATAAATATAGAGGCGTGAAATCAGTAAAGAACTATCAGGAACTATAGATACACATATTTTAGGTTCGAACTGGAATTATTAATATTTGTTGGATCAATTTGTGTCTGGAAATTTGTATTTGCTTTTCAGTCTAAAATATTGCGTCTTGTAAGCTTATACAATTATTGTTTATTTATCTACCGTAAATATCGATGGGCTCGTATTTATTTCATTTCACGGGTAATAGCGATATCTCTTTAGATAATATTAGATAATATAACAATTGAAAACAAAGGCCACCAACATCTGATGTTGGCGCTTGTAATTGTCTGCTACATGCTACATTCCGTGTCTGTGATGACATAGGTTTCACTGGGTATGGGATTCTCTACAATAAGCTATGTCTTTAAATTTAACCTATAAGACAGCCAGAAACACAAGTCAATGGTAAATTAGTATTTAAAACACACACCTTTCCAGCGGATTTGACACCTTTTATTATACAGAGAAATATAATTATCCAACTAATTATAAGTGGAACAACCAGTTGCCATTGCATACTGCCTAAATCATCTAATCCAGTTGACATCCTTAATACATTGTAGCTGAAAAATATGAGATGACATTGAAACATAGCTTCAGTTTTAATATGCTAGGAGAGCCCTATTTGTTACCTATCTGTGATGACAAAACGAGTTTTTCACTGATGGTTATAAGGACAATATTGGTGCCAGTCATTATCACATGTGTGATAGTACTGATAGAATTGGTTAAACACGTTACAAAAATAATTTTAATACAGAGATCATTGCTGCCATAGATGCATTATGAAGTTTTCAAGAAAGGGAAGTGACGAACGCAAAAGTAAAACACGAGTTATCTTTCTATATAACTGACTGAAGTGACGAGTGATAACAGATACAAGCGCGAATTTCTGCTCACTAATAATTCCGTCGAAGACTAAAAGTTGTTATGTGAGGCTGTGAGAGGATATCTGATAATTCAAAAAAGTAACTGAATGTCACTAGATAAGAGAAAATTAGAAATAGCCCGTACATTCCCTTGTTTTTATTCATTCTATACTTAATAAAAACATGATAATGCACGGACTAACCCAACACATTTTCAGAAAGCGGGGTCCTCAATCCAAACTTATCATTTGTCTAGGAAAGACTTGGACGGAGTTTAATATCAATTCGGATATCGGATAATCAGTACACCGAAAGTTTATTTCCTAACTGGTCACTGATTATTGTTCCTATTGGTCATTAAAGGGATAATCTGCGTTTTCAATCTTTCAAAAAATGCCCGGTAATATGAATGATGCGATGAACACTTTTTTAAGCTAAAGCGGACTGTAATTTTATAAACCGGATGATTGCAGAACACACTTTGTAGTGTACCACACCTTCGTTGCTTACTTCCAAAATTCTTCAGGTGCAGTAAGACCAATGGTTGAAATATTCACATGCGTCGATGAAACATTTGTATTCATCAATGATGAAAAGTTTGCGTATTGGACTAGATTACGTAAACTGCTTGTAAGGTTATTGGTGTGGTTCCCACCAGTGCTGGTAAAATTGTCGGTTCTGTATTGATGAACAAAGCACGTGTCTGTATTCCACCAATTGTCACAGGTCGTCCATGGTAACGGTGACATAAAAGAATGGACAAGATAGTATAAAATCCAGGCTAGGATCATGGTATAATATAAACAAACGATGCCTGTTACGACGATCATTGCTACTCCTAAACCTGAAATAAGAAAATCAAAAGTATTAAACTTTATTCAATTAATAGTTTCTTTTCTACCCCCCCCCACCTTTAAAGTAGTATAATAAAGTTTAACGTGTAATCGCAATATCAACACCATTTCGAAAGCTCAAAACAAAGACGTACAGTGCGCACGCTGAACGAAATCGAGAAAACTGTATTACATTGATAGTTAGAACACTATATTTATATATACAACCCTACCCAATTCCTTGGGATGTTGTATTTCATTATGTACATCTAATATAAGCTGCTTTCGTTCACGTGGCCCTTGAATATTTGTTTGGACATGTTCAGTTTCATTGGAGTTGCTGCTGTTAGAGATTAATGGCGCTAAATCACCCCCTGACCGTTCCCCGGTGTTTGACGGGTATTGTTTTCAAAAACTGTGTAAAAGTTAAAGCGGAAATTGCAAATTTTCAAGTTATATTTTTAAAATGTATTAAAATAAAACCTTAAAATAGATGGTATCCATAAACAGTCCTACCTTGTTAAAGAATAATCCTATAATTCGCTATTGCCAGCTGAGAAATTGGCAAAAATATCATTTTTAACTTCAAATTCCAACGTTGGAAAATGGCTGCCCCATGTTGTCAATAGCAAAACAGGGGAGGTAATTGTGTTGTTATTTCCTGTGTCATAGATTTTTAAGGGTGGCAAATAATGCCCATGATCGTATAATAGTGATTTGATAACCTATTGAGCAAAAGACATAGAAATGTTTTGACTTTCTTAGAAAATTTGAAATTCTCGCTTTAAAGCAAATGCGCCTATTGTTCTACTAAACCAACAAATACTGATCCTGACTTCAGTGGGCCCTTTCAGTGTAGCTCGGAAATGGTTTACTTCACAGCATATAAGTGAATGAAATGTGCGACAGCATAGTATGCCCACAAGAAAATGTGGGTGTACAAAAGAAATCCTCTCAATTGGTCCAGTGGTCAAATTTCTGTGAAAGAAAAGCCGAGAATGGCAGCCATCTTGTAAAATGGTGGCCATTTTAACAATTCTAGTGGCTAAAGTGCTATTCTTAATATAAATGATACTAAACGGACTCCCATGCAATTTTATTGCTTGTAATTTAACACTTTGTTGCCCCACTATAATAACGAATTATATTTTTGACGTACAAATTGGTGTTTTGACACTGATGGGTGTTGTGACATCTCTAGTAACCTGTACAATCAGAATTATATAAACATATTTTATATTTGACACATTATTTTACACTATATACAACAGACAACCAATGTAATTAAATATTGTAAATACTAGGTTAGTACATTCTCTGAAACATTACGAGCCGCTTTATTTTGTAATGGATTTGGCTGGTAATAATATATACAGTAGGGGATTGCAATGATCTAGTTTTGAAATAATAAAGGCATTAACTAATATACAATTTTAATATATAAAAGAACTTGGCCAGTGATATACGGGTACATGATTTACAGATCATGATATATGTCCATGCATAATCGTTATGTTCAGATCTAATTTAATACAGATGTCTACACAAATATGAACAGCATTTTCAATACCTGCAATAGTTTAATTTACCTCGTTAAACGTTTTTATCTCCAACTATTTATTTATTTTTTGGTAGACTGAACACAAGATCCAATTTCACATTGAAAGGATTTGTTGATAATTATACCCCGTCAACCGAATCAGTTGACAATAGCTATATTGCATTGCTAATTTTGCCCTTGTCATATTGCTGATTTATCAACATTAATTCACACATAAATGATCTTCCTTACAAATACGGCACAAACTGTCAAACAATATATCTGTAGTTTATATAAACTTTCTTCTGATTACTTCGTATTTCGCTAAAATCGTACTGGCGGTTACACACGTTTACCCGTGATTTCGAGTGTTCTGTGATTTCATGCTGGCGAATTGAATATCCTCGAAAGTAGGCTAACTTATTTCCCAATTAAAGAGTGATGTTAAATTTAATGATTTAAATTATCGCTTACTTAAGAATACATTAATGTAAATTTAGATAAAGAGCTCATCGTTCATGCTATATTGGTTTTAAAATAGTTAATGCAAAATTTCGTTCAAATTACTTTATTCTGAGCGAAGATATTAAGCTTTTGAAGGTTTGACAAGATGTATGCACTGATTATAACCCCTTGTGCTGGTTGTTAGAAGCTTAGCTCGCTTCACCATTTTTAGATTAAATCATTAAATGGCTGAACCGTTCTAATCTACTTAAAATCGGACCTATCCGATCGCATCGGATATGGTCTTTCCATGTTAATACATGTCTAATCAATAGCGTATATAACATTTCAGGCCTCAAGAAAGATCTGTAATAGGCAGATTTAGCCCTTGCATAATGCCTGTTTAAATCTACAAACACTCCTACTTAAAAATGCATGAGTTAAATCTAACAAGGCCATAATCAACACTCTAGACCATTGACTGGCTTGGAGATTAATTGAATTAGAACATCCGCAATATTTTATCATTTAACGAAAGATTGGAAATCGAGACTTTGTTTATTATCGATATTTCGCTATTCTTGTCGAAACTTTAAACATTCATTTTCACTGTCTATTTTTAAACTATTAATAGAAAGAACCGTCACCTCTTTATCTAAATCTTACATAACACATCTTTAATTTGAACAGAGGGTTTATTTTACGTTTTTATCTTCTATTCTCACATTTCTGAAAAACCTCTGCACGCCAGACGGCGTCTAGTAGCTCGGATGTAACGTGCGCATGTAAACGCTGGCGTGCACGTACAAGAAACAGTTGGAATTCGACAAAGAGTGGGCAATCTCCCGTTTAGCACACAAAAAGTAAGGGCGTTAAACTCAATTTCATTTCATTTCTTTGTTACCCAGCATGGAATTAAAACTTATACACATACGATTTAAGAGCAAAAGGTAATTACTTTGTAAACAAATAGATTTCCTTTAATGAGCTAACCCAGTTTATCAATAAATTGGGCTTTCACGTTTAATTGATTTGAAGGGGGAGGTTACAGCGCATATATACAGCCAACTGACCAATTGACAGTTCCAAAAATGATAGTGGAAACGCCACTAAAAACATAAATATGGCGTACGGAATAAGGAACACAGCTGAAAAAAAAAAGAAAATGCGAAACGGGATAGTGTATAACAAATGTATTAAAGTCGAACATTTAAAATAAATCATCAAGGGAAAGCGATATCTAATTTGATGGGCCAATTTGGAGCACAAAGCTTTCTTTTTCTGGGACACCTGGCACTAGCTTGTGTGGGGTGTAATGGTTATTTTCTAATTATTTTAATTTAGGTTGTACATTTTTTATATATACTAGCGGATGACTCGGCACTGCACGCTCCAAAACCGGAAGTCCAACGCCACCAAGCCCATGTTACTCCTATTCACCAAATTTCAGCCTTGGGATAGCCCTAGTGTAGCCGTCAACCATGAACAGACAAACAAACATTAGTCACAAATATTAGTACCCGTATAGATTGTCTCGATTTTGCCTGTTCGTTCTTTTGCTAGCTATCAAGTATTTCATTTTATATGCGATAAAAACTTTTCAAAATTAATTTAACGGAATTTTCGCTTTCGAAATGATTATTATTATTATGTTTTTTTTTATAAATAATACCAACCTCCGCCGTTCAAGGCACATAGGTACGGGAACCTCCAAATATTACCCAATCCTACACTATATCCAATAAGGGACAGTAAAAACTCCAAGTTATTCTTCCACTTTAACCGGTAAGGTTTGGTTTTTACCATAGCTACTCCCGCTTTTTCAATCATCTTATCTGTTTCGAAGCTAAAACATTTCTGATGTGAAAATATTTTACCGCCTGTGAAATGATTGACTGCGATGTCAACCGAAAAGAAGAAGTGAAATGACGATAGCGCCAGTAACATTAACATTCATAAATGACTTTGTGTCGAGTGGACGTTAAAGCCTCTCCTCTCTTTCACTCACACACACACTCACTCACTCTCTGTATTACATGATGTGCACTATATGCGTAAAGGGGAGCGACAATTTTGTCAGGATGTTTCTGTACGATTTTCACGAAATTTGAACTCATCTATAATTATGGTATAACGAAGGTACATTGGAATGGTTTTAAAATCAAATAAAAATTGTGGACCACAAGCTAAAATGAAATTTTCGTACAATTAGGGGTAAAAATCCAGGAAGTGACGGTCCGATACGTGTTAAAAACTGCGGCCTCTAAACGGCCCACAAGTTAAAAACGTAATTTTTGTAATAATCAGGGACAATACTCCATGACGTGACGGTCCGACAAGTGCCAAAACAGGGCTCCTGCTGCCAGATCTTTGAGAAATAACATATATTTTAAGTTTCATCAAAATCGGACAAAAATTGTCACCTGTTTATTGTCAACAAACAAATGTGAACTAACGGACAGGGACGACGAGATAATACGTACACATAAAAACCCCACCCTGCTCAGCTACATAAAAAAAAATGTAAAACAGTACTTTATCCTTTATCCCTAGTTGGTGGGATGGGATTGGCATTCAAATGCGAAATAATGATATAGACATGTGTGATATCACAATTAATGAAATTGAATCACAATGTGATCCTATTAATTTATTACAAAAATTGACGTCAAACGGGATGATGGATTCTCTCTTTAAAAAGCTCAGTGTGTATGTATGCCTACGTAATTGAGAGACGATGATGGCAGCATGCATTGTCAACTGTCAAATTTCCTTAACAG